ACAAAAACACTCCTTTATGATAAAAAACACTAAACAAACTAGGAAAAGAAGGGAACTTACTTAATCTGATAAAAGACATCTACAAAAACCCCACAGCTAACATCATACTGGAGCCCTAGTGGTGCAGAGGTTAAGAGCTATGGCTGTTAACCAAAAGATCAGCAGTTCTCATCCACTAGCTGCTCCTTGGAAAACTTAACGCGCCAGTTCTACTGTGTCCTCTAGGGTCACTATGAGTCAGAATCGACTCAACAGCAACAGGTTTGGTTTTGGTTTTTAACATCATTGAAAAATCTGACAAAAAGACATCTGTATTAGAAAGAAAGAAGTAAAACTATCTCTATTTGTAGATGACACTATATTGTTTATGGAAAATCTTAAGGAATCCACTGAAAAACAATTAGAACTAATAAACAAGTTCTACAAGGTTGCAGGGTACTGGATCAACATACAAAAAGGGTTAGGATTAGGGTTAGGTTTTTCACTAACCCGCAGCTGCTCATAGGTGGATGAATTTCCATCTGGATTCTCAATTCTGTTCCATTGGTCTATGTGTCTCTTGTTACACCAGTACCAGGCGATATATATATACTGTGGCTGTATAGTAGGTCCTAAAATCAGGTAGTATGAGGCCTCTCACTTTGTTCTTCTTCTTCAGTAATGCTTTACTTATCTGGGACCTCTTCCCTTTCCATATGTTTGAAATGCCTATCAAACATTTCTATACATTAGCAATAAACAATCTAAACTTAAATTAAGAAAACAATTCCATTTATACTAGCACCAAAAGGAATAATGTAATCAGAAATAAATTGAACAAAAGAAGCGATAAACATATTCACTAAAAAACTACAAAACATTGTTGGAAGAAAATAAAAGTATCTAAATAAATGCAAAGAGTTTGCTAACTTCAAACTACATACAAAAATTAAACCAAAATGGATCAAACCCCCAAATATATGACCTAAAACTATAAAACTCTTAGAAGACCAAGCAGGTGTAAATCTTTGTGATCTTAGATTAGACAGTAAGTTCTTAGATATGACACCAAAAGCACAAGCAAGCAAAGAAAAAAATAAACTGCACTTTGTCAAAATTAGAAACTTTTGTGCTTCAAAGGATACTATCAAAAGTGAAAAGACTACCCACAAAATGGGAGAAAATCTTTGAAAATCATATATCTAGTAAGGGTCATCTAGGTCAATTGGCATAACATATTTCATAAAGAAAATGTTCTCTATCCCACTCTGGTGAGTAGCATCTGGGGTCTTAAAAGCTTG